TTTTCGAGGCCCAATCATCATAGCCCTCACCATTGAACTTCTCGACGGTGAAATTCTTCAGCACCTCCTTGACCAGCGAGCCCTGGTTTGTTCGCGCTCCCCTTGGCGCTGAAACACCAGAATCATGGCTGCCGCTACGATCTTGGGCTGAAGATTCACCAGCTCCCGTCGAGGTGTTGCCCGCCATAGCTACCTATATCGAGGATCACTATAACGCAGCTCTGATACCAGCTTGTTGGTGTAAGGGCCTAATAAACTCAAGCTATTAAGACTTTATCAAACTTAAAACCTCTCCTCGGGGTCACCTCCAAGGGTCCTTGGGTGCTTGGTACAAGACCAGCCCCTATCGTCGGGTCCGAGCTTGTAGAGAGAGGGATCAAGAGGGACAAAGTCAAAACAGCAAGAGTACCTTGAACGTCGCGCAGTGTATCGTGCAGAACGTCGATCGGATTAAGCTGCGAATTTTCTATATCGAAGCTCACTCTAAGAGCTTTAAAATAAGCCAAGTTGCCTCGCGAAAAGTTCTGCCATTACGAAGTTATGGCTCGGACAGCGTTAGCCTAGCGTTGGAGTGCTAGCGTACTAGCGTTGACTCGGGTAGCATTCCGCCGTCGCACCGCGTAGAAAGGAAATTCCAGCAAGGAAGGAATTCGCTTGAATCAATTTCACTATATTCAGATACCAACAGAGAAGGAATATATAGTTCTAGCTAGCATGGACCTTGGGAATAAACCAGGGAACAACTAGGGATGATCCCAAATAATTCCAAGCAACAGAACCAACCTGGCTGGACAAAACAGGAGGTAGTAGGTTGGTAAACAACCTCTGGTTCTGTTTTCCCAACCTGGGAAAACAACAACCAGGTTCAGGTCCTAAAAACAGAACCTGTTTTGTCTTTGCCCAACCAGCCAAATGCTGGTTCCGCTGGTTTCCCCTGGCCCTGTAGCATGCAGATACAGACAAACAACATCCAACCTTCACCTAAATTGTACCCCTATAGTGCCTGCCCTGCTACACTATAGTCAACCAAACAAAACAGTACAATTTCGAGTTGGATAGAACTGAATCTGCGCAATCAAGTAAGTTGAACCGCAAAGCTTCCACCTTGGGTTCCTTTGCGAGCTCGTCCTTTCTACTTGTACTGTTCATAGCGCGTACAATGTTATGCCGAAGCGCACATTGTGCGAGTACCTGCAAATGCTTCAAGCGAAAATTGCGAAAGCAAACAAACACACGAACATTCCATTCACACGCAAATGCATTCGCACACGCATACTCGTACAAACAGACGGTAGGATGTCGTGCAATGTGAATTTGCACCCAACAGAACCCACCTCCACCAATAGGTTGGGCAAGGAAGTGGGCCAAGCAACACCCTGGTGCCCAAGCTGCCCTCTAGGATGCACTTATGCGTTATGCAGGATGCATCACCGAGATTCGAGTAAGTAGTTGAAAGTTTATGCAATCAACTATCATTTGGCTGCCTCGTATCATACATGACTAATATCAATTGTTATGCAGGCCCATGCATCGCTAGCAATCTCTGCAGCAGACGACGCCAGCTTCTCAAGAGTTTCTCGCTTCGTTCGAGCGACCCCTGACTATTTTGAGAGGCCATGGTACTCGGATGTTGCAGTGGAGGGTGTAAGGTATAGTCGGAGAGAGGAATGGTATTCACGGTTGCTTTTGTTGTTCCATACAAAAATGCGTGGAGAAAGGGAGGAGCTGGCTTACGTTAGATATTGGAATGCAAGCGAAGGGGATGCTGCAACAGGATGCCTTCGCCTCAAGTGGACGACAAGAATATACGCGTACTCCGTGATTCCGATTGAAGCACTGCTCCGCCACGTCCACGTGGTGAAGGCATCCCATCTGGACAGATTCTATCTCCTTAATAAGTATCAGATGTGATGCATTTATGTTGTAGTAAAATGAACAGTTTAGTTTTCCAGCAATCACATTTTACAGAAGTCAAAGTTGAGAAAACCAGTTACAAATTGATAACAAATTTGGAACGCTCCAAATAAACGACAATGTATCGGAGTCGCGGATTCGATTTCGACTCCGACAAAGAAATGCGGCCCGATTTCATCCCGTGATTGGTCGCGATTTCGTTTCGGAACTTTGCCAACCAAAACACCTGAACTGTACCCCCCTTCGAATCCCTTTCAAAAACCTAAGATTTTTGTGATGTGGCATGTTGGTCGAATGGACTGGTTAAAGCAATCGGCCAGTTTGTGAGCTCGAATATTTGGACCAACCAGCATGTTGGTCCAATGGTTAGATGGACTGGTTGGACCACAAGCCTGTTGGTCTAATGGACATGCTAGACCAACCAGCCAGATGGTCCAATGGAGCGGTTGGACCAACCAGCTAGTTGGTCTACTGGACTGGTTGGACCATATGGCCTGACGGCCCAATGGACCGGTTGGACAAAACGGCTGGTTGGTCCAATGAACAGGCTGGACCAATTGGCCCGTTGGTCTACTGGACCAACCAACCATTTGGTCTAATGACCCAATGGATTGGTTGGAACAACTAGCCTGTTTGTCCAATGGACCGGCTAGACCAATCGGCCTAATGGTCCACTGGACCGGTTGGTCCAACCGGCCCGTTGGTCCTTTCGACAGGTTGGACCAACTGACAAGTTGGTCCAATCGACTAGATGAACAAACTAGGCTGTTGGTTTGATGGACCGGTTGGACCAACCAGCCTGTTGGTCCAATGGACCGGTTGGATCAAGTGGCTTGTTGGTCCAATGAATCGGGTGGACCAACCAGCCTATGGGTCCAACTGACTGGTTGGACCAACCGGCCTGTTGGTCCACTGGACCGGTCGGACCAACTGGCCTGTTGGTCCAATAAACAGGGTGGACCAATTGGCCTGCTGGTCCAAAGGATCGGTTGGACCAACCAACCTGTTTGTTCTATGGATCGGTTGGAACAACTGGCGTGTTGGCCAATGGACGGGGTAGACCAACCGGCTAGTTGTTCCAACGATCCAATGGACCCGTTGGACAAACCAGCCTGCTAGTCCTTTCGAGAGGTTAGTCTAATTGACTGGTTGGACCATCCAGCCTTTTGGTCCAATCGACAGGTTGGACCAACCAGCCTGTTGGTCTAATTAACCGGTTAACCAATGGTTCGATGGCTAGTCGGAACAACTTGCCTATTGCTCTAATGGAACACTTGGACCAATTGGCTTGTTGGTCCAATGGGCCGGTTGGACCAACCGTCCTGTTGGTTTAATGGTCCTATAGACCGGATCAACTAGCCTATTGGTCTAATGGACCGGGTGGACCATCTGGCCCGTTGGTCCGATAGACCGGTTGGACCAACCCGCCTATTGGTCCATTGGACTGATTGGACCAACTGGCAAGTTGGTCCACTAGACCGGTTGAACCAACCAACCTCTTGTTCTAATGGACTAGATGGACCAACGGGCCTGTTGGTCCAATTGACCGGTTGGACCAACTGGCCTATTGGTCCATTGCATTGGTTGGACCAACTGGCTTGTTGGTATGATGGACGTGTTGGACCAACTAGCCTGATGGTCCAATGGACCGGATGGACCAACCGGCCTGTTGGTCTACTTGACCGGTTGGACCAACCGGCCTGTTGGCCCAATGGACCACTTGAACCAAACGGGCGATTCGTTCAATGGACAGGTTGGACTCACTATCGTCTTTGGACCAACCAGCAATTTGGTCTAATGATCCAATTGAACGGATGGACCAACAGGCCTGTTGGTCCAATGGAACGGTTTGAACAACTGGCCTGTTGGTCCAATGGACTGCATAGACCAATCGGCCTGTTGGTACATTGGACAGGTTGGACCAACCGGCCTGTTGGTCCAATCAACAGGTTGGACCAACTGGCTGTTTGGTCTAATCGACCAGTTAGACCAACCGACCTGTTGGTCCAACGGACTGGATGGACCAACCGGTTTGTTGGTCCAATGGTCAAATGGTTCGGCTGGACCGGATGGACCAACCGGCCTGTTGGTCCAGTTGGATCGGATGGACCGAACGGCCTGTTGGTCCAATGAACGGGTTGGACAACGGGCCAATTGGTCCAACGCACCGGTTGGACCAACCAACCTGTTGGTCCAATGATCCAATGGACGGGGTGGACCAACTGGCCTCTTGGTCCAATGCACTGGTTGGACTAACTGGACGGTTGGTCCATTGGATGGGTTGGACCAACCAGCCTGTTGGTCCAATTGTCAGGTTGGAGTAACCGGCCGGTTGGTCCATTCGACCGGTAGGACCAACTAGTCTGTTGGTCCATGGGACCGGTAGGCTAAATCAGTCTGTTGGTCCAATGGTCCAATGGGCCGCCATCTGCTGGGTCTGCACTATCTCCAACCATACCTCCTTGTCTAGGAGACTCCTCACCCGGTGCTACTTAGGCCTGATGTGCTTTGTTAGCCCATAAAGGCACCTGTTCTTGTCAAGCTTCACAACGGACTCATTGTCACAAAAAATCACAGTCGGCTCCTTCTAACCAAGTCCAATCTCCTCCAACAAACACCTCAGCCACACGACCTCTTTAGCCACCAACCAGTTTGGTTGAACAAACCTGCCAAGTGTGTTAGAGACTAAGGACAGAGTTTAGGAAGATTAGGGGCCAAAATATTTCAAAATCGTTGGACTAAAATTATGGACAGAATTGTCGACTTCTCAAGAAACATGGTCGACGAAACGTTTACTGTTAGAATGTTCCCCTCTATATGGGCACCCCAACTTGACAATTGTCAATTTCCCAACCTTTACAATCCACCTCAACCAACATGGCCACACTTGCCAACCTGGTTTGGCTTCTCCCAACCACTTGGCAGCATCTACAGTAACACACATTGTCCCACTCCACTGAGTCAGGTCAGGTCAGGTCAGGACAAGTCAGGTAGCTGCTGTGTCGTGTGACTGTCAGTCACTCACCCACCCGTCAGTCCTCTAGCACCACCGTCTAGGTTACCCGTCGTTTCCACGTCACAGTAGGATGGTACGACGCCGTCTAGTCTCGGGTCTCCCAACATCGCTTGCCCCGCTCCCACGCTCACCTGCGCCGCCGTGCACTCCTTCCGTCAAAGGTCGGCAGCGCCCTGCCCCGCATTTGGACGTCTGGGGCCCCTCTCCGGTCCTTGGCCCACATCAGGAGCGCTACTTTCTGATTGTGGTGGATGAATACTCTCACTACACCACGGTCTTCCCCTTGCGACGGAAGGCCGACGTGCCTACCGTCCTTGAGCCGTGTCTACTAGCGAGGGATGGCTCCCAGGGCTTGTATGGGCTCTGCCTACACTCGGACCGTGGTGGTAAGTTTTCTTCCACTCGCCTGGAGAGGTTCTATGAGGGTCGGAGGATCATCCAGTCTTACACACTACCAGCCTTACCGTAGCAGAACGGGGTAGCCGGGCGACGCATCGGCCTGGTCATGGAGGTTGCCCGGACCTCCATGTGCCATGCCAGTGCCCCCCAGTTCTTGTGGCCTTAGGCAGTCCGCTATGCCACGCACCTGATGAATCCGTGGCCGGCAACAGGTGACGCCTGTCTCCCTTTGGACAGGTTCTCCAAGCGTAACAGCTGAATTTTGCGTCTGGGGTTCTCTAGCTCACTTTCGTGCCCCTGGTGCGAACAAGTTGTCTCCGCGCATTTGTATCTGCGTCTTTCTTGGCTCCCTGTGGACGCCTCTGGCTAAGTGTTCTACGACCCAGTCACATACGAGTTCTTCGCTTCTCGTGACGTGACGTTCGATGAGTCTGTCTGTTACTACAGGAGTCGCCCCCACCGACATACTTAGGTCTTCCCCCCCCCTCCCCCCCGCTGTTCCTCGCCCTTGAGCCCCCCCCCCAGTCGTCCCGGTAGCCCCCCTCCTCCCCCCCTTTGCGTCCTACCCCGTCAGGTGTGTCGCACGTCATTCCGGAGTCACCCCCCCCCCCCCCCCCCCCGCAGTGTCCAGTCCCTATCGTGTCTGGGGGTGTGGAAGGTGCAGTTGCAGAGGGTGAGGGTACTGGGGCTGCAGGTGGTGGTGTCGGCTCTGGGGGTGTAGGACACGGCAGCCTCGAGTCAGCGGCCTCGCCCCGCATCACCCCCTAGCTTCCCATCCGTCCCGGAGTTCCCTCCTCGTTCTTCTCTGCGACCGGTTGCTGCGGAGCCTGGGGGTGTTCCTGCGGGAGGCACTGGAGGCCCCGAAGGTGTCGGTGGTGGAGGTGCTGGTCCTGGGGGTGCTGGAGCTAGAGGCACTGGCACTCTGGTGCCTACAACGTGCACTGTACGCTTCCTGACCAATGAGCAGCGTGTCCTCCGGTTGGAGAGAGAGGAGCGTGAATGGTTTGAGAGGGCACAACAGCAACAGCAACAGGAGCAGTCTCAGTCGTAGCAGCAGGAGAGAGTAAAGGAGGAGTCAGAACAGCAATAGGAGAGAGTAGAGGAGTCACGACCGCAGGAGGAGAGGGTAGCGCAGGATTCCTGGTCGCAGCTGTTATGTGATGCTATTATTTGCATTCACGTCTGTCTGCCTCCCATCATATGATTGAATGTTGCCTGCGTGGTGTGTGCGTGTACAAGAAATCGTATTTGGTGTGGTTTGGATTCTCTGAGTGTGTGTGAATCTTATCATGCTTGAGCAAATACTTGCAATGACTCCTCATGGTCCATTGAACTAGTTGGACAAACTGGCCAGTTGGTTCACTGGACGGGTAGGACCAACCGGCCTTTTGGTCTAATGGATAGATGGACGGGTTGGACCAACTGGCCTGTTGGTCTAATGGACAGGTTTAACGAACCGACCTCTTGGTCCGAAGGACCGGTTGGACCAACCAGCATGATGGTCTAATGGACCTGTTGGACCAACCGGCATATTGGTCCAATGGTCCAATGGACCAAGTGGACCAAATGGTCAGTTGGTCTAATGGACCGGTTGGAACAATTGGCTTGGTCTAATAGACTAGGTCGACCAACTAGCCTGTTAGTCCAATGGACTTGGTTGGACCATCCGGCTAGTTGGTCCACTGGAATGGTTGGACCAACTGGCCAATCTGTGCATTAATACGGTTGGACCAACCGGCCTGATTGCCAATAGGCCGGCTGGTCCACCCGGTCCAATGAACAAATAGGCCAGTTGGTCCAACCCGCCATAGGTCCTACTGGCCGATTGGTTCAACCGGTCCATTTGACTGACAGGCCAGTTAGTCCATCCGGTCCATTGCACCAACAAGCTGGTTAGTCCAATACGTCCATTCGACCAACAGGCCCGTTGGTTCAACCGGTCCATCCGACCACTGGACCAACAGGCCGGTTGGTCCAACCGGTCCATCGGACCAATAGGCTGGTTGGCTCAACTGGTCCATTGGACCAACAGGCCGGTTGGTCTAACCGATCCATATGACCATTGGGACAATAGGCTGGTTGGTCCTACTAAATAATTGGACCAATAGGCCGGTTGTTCCAATTGGTCCATTATACCAATAGGGCCAGTCGGTCCACCCGGTCTATAGGACCAACAGGCCGGTTGACTTACCGGATCCAGTGGACCAACAGGCCTATTGGTCCAACCAGTCCATTGGACAAACATGCCAGCTGATTTAACTGGTGCATTAGACCATTGGACCAATTGGCTTGTTGGTCCAACCGGTCCGTTGGTCCAACTGGTCCATTGGACCAACAGGCCAGCTTGTCCAACTGGTCCATAGAACCAACACGCCGCTTGGTCCAACCGGACCATTGAACCAACAGGCCGCTTGGTCCATCTGGTCCATTAGACAAACAGGCCAGTTGGGCCAATAGGCCAGTTGGTCCAACTGGCCATCGAACCATTGAACCAATGGGCCGGTTGGTCCAACTGGACCATTGGACCAGCAGGCCGGTTGGTCCACTGGGTCTAGTGAACCAACAGGCATGTTGGTCCTACCGGTCCACTAGATCAACAGGCTGTTTGGTCCAACTGGTCCATCAGACCACACGCTAGTTGGTCCACCCTGTCTATTGGACCAACAGGCCAGATGATCTGACTGGTCAATTCGAACAACAGGCCAGTTTGTCAACCAGGTCAATTGGACCATTAGGTCCACCGGGTTGGTCCACCAGGTCCAGACCAACACGCCGGTTGGACCAACCGGTCCATTGGACCAACATGCTGGTTGGTCCCACCGGACCATCAGACTAACGGGCCAGTTGGTCCATCTAGCCCAAAAGACCATTGGACCAACAGGCCGGTTGGTCCAACCGGTCCATTGGACCAAACGGCTGATTGGTTCAACCGTTCTATTGCACCAACAGGCTGGTTAGTCCAACACGTCTATTAAACCAACAGGCTAGTTGGTCCAACCGGTTCATCGAACCATTTCACCAACAAGCCGGCCGGTCCAACTGGTCCAGTGGACCAAATTGCCGGCTGTTCCAATCCGTCAATTAGACCAATATGCTGGTTGTCCAACCAGAATTTGGGCCAACAGGCCGATTGGACCACCCAGTCCATTAGACCAAAGGGTTAGTTGATCCAAGCAGCCCATTAGACCATCACGCTAGTTCATCCAGCTAGTCCATTCAACCTTTGGACCAACAGGCTGGTTGGTCTAGCCGGTCCATTGGACATAGAGGCCGGTTGGTCTAGCCGGTAAATTTGAACGAACAGCTCGGTTGGTCCAACCGGTCCATTGGACCAACAGGCCTGTTGGTCCATCCGGTCCATTGGACCAACAGTCCACTTGGTCCAACCGGTCCATTGGACCAACAAGACAATTGATATGACAGGCCAGTTTTTCCACGAGGTCAATGAGTCCATTGGATCCAACGGGTTGATCCACCGGGTCCGGACCAACATGCCAGTTGGTCAACCGGTCCATTGGACCAACACGCTGGTTGGTCCTACCGAACCATCAGACTAACAGGCCACTTGGTCCAACTGGCCCATCGGACCATTGGACCAATAGGCTGGTTGGTCCAACCGGTCCATTGGACCTAAGAGCCGATTGGTCTAACTTTTCCATTTCACCAACCTTCTGGTTAGTTCAGTACGTCCATTAGACCAACAAGCTAGTTGGTCCAACTGGTTCATCAAACTAATTGACCAACAGGCTGGCTGGTCCAATACGTCCAGTGGACCAACTGGCCAGTTGGTCCAATCGGTCAATTAGACCAATAAGCTGGTTGTTCCAACCAGTCTTTTGGACCAACAAGCCAGTTGGACCACCCGATCCATTAGACTAACGGGTTAGCTGATCCAAGCGGCCCATTGGACCATCAACCCCATTGGTCCAGCCAGTCCATTCGACCTTTGGACCAACAGGCCATTTAATCTAGCCGGTCTTTTGGACAGACAAGCCAGTTGGTCTAGCCAGTGAATTGGACCTACAGCTCGATTGGTCCAACCGGTCGAGTGGATCATTGGACCAACCGGCTAGTTGGTCCAACCGGTCAAGCAACTTGCTCGGTTGGTCCAACTGGTTAGTCAAGCAACTGGACCAACCAGGTAGTTGGCCCAATCTGTTGAGTGGATCATTGGACCACCCGGTCCATCTAACTAACCATTGGATCAACAAGCCGGTTGGTCCAACCAATCCATTGGACCAATAGGCAAGTTGGTCCACCCAGTCCATTAGATCAACAGGCCAGTTGATCCAACCGGTCCATTGGACCAACAAGCCAGTTGATCCACCCGGTTTATTGGACCATTAAACCAATAGGCCGGTTTGTCCAACTCGTAAATTGGACCAAAAGACCGGTTGGTCCAACCATTCCATTGGATGAACAGGCTGGTTGGTCAAACCGGTCCATCAGTCCAACCGGCATTTTGGTCTAACTAGCCGTTGAACCATGGGACAAACAGGCCAGTTGGTCCAACTGGTCCATTGGACCAACAGGCCGGATGGTCCAACCGGTCGATTGGACCAACAGGCAAGTTGGTCCAACCTGTCAAAAGGACCAAGAGGCGGGTTGGTCCAACTGGTCATGTGGACCAATAGGCCTGTTGGTCCGGTCCATTGGACCAACAGGTCATTTGTTCCAAATGGTCCATTAGACCAACAGGCTGGTTGGTCCTAATGATCCATTGGACCAACAGGCCAATTGGTCCAAGCTGTCCGTAAGACCAACTGGCCGTTCAGTCCTATTGGTCCATTGGGTTGACAGGCCAGTTGGTCCAACCAGTCCAGTGAACCAACTAGCCGGTTGGGCCAACCAGTCCATTGGTTCATTAGGCTGGTTGATCCAACACGTCTATCAGACCAACATGCCAGTTGGTTCGACTGGTTTATCTGGTCATTGGACCAACAGGCTACTTGGTCCAAGCGTTCTAGCGGACCAACCGACCGGTTGGTCCAACCAGCCCATTGGACCAATAAGCCAGGTGCTCCACCCGGTCCCTTGCACCAATAGGCAGGTTGGTCCAACCGGCATAGCTGACCAACTCGCTGGTTGGCCAACCAGTCTATTAGACAAATATGCTAGTTGGTCCACCCGGTCCACAAGACCAAGAGGCCAGTTGATCCAACCGGTCTAGTGGACCAACGGACGAGTTGCTCCAATCAGTCCATTAAGCTATTGCACTAGCAGGCGGATTGGTCCAACCGGTCCATTGCACAAACAGGCGGACTTGTCCACCTGGTCGTGTGGACCTACTTTCCGGTTGGTCCAATGCGTCTATTCAACATGCCAGTTGGACAAACTGGACCATTGGACCAGCAGGCCGGCTGGTCCACCTGGTCCATTCGACCAACAGGCTGTTTGGTCCAACCGGTCCATTGGACCAACAAGTTAGTTGGTTCATCCGGTCTATGGATCTAATGGAAGTGGACATTGGAATGGCCCAAAGTGGTCTCCCCAAGGGCTGCAGGTGTCGTCCGGGGGGGTTATGAGTGCGCTAACCCACCAAGAAAACATTCCCTCTGACCAAGTTGGGTCCGTTGCCCGGAGGGCCAGGGTTTGAATCTTGCTGTCGTCGCTTTTAATGGAGTGAGGACGAAATTTCCTTCCGCTAGGTGAGGAAGGTGGACATTACACATGCCCTTCCTCACCTAGGTGAGGAAGGCAAAGTTTCCATGGATTGAGGGCAAACTTTCAATGGATTTGCCCTTTCACCCAGTTGGTCCAACTTGTCCAGTAGACCAACTAGTGCACTAGACCAATTGGCTGGTTGGTCCACCAAGTCAATTAGACCAACCAGCCAGTTGATCCAACTTGTCGGTTTCTCTAACCGGTCCATTGGACCAATAGGCCGGCTGGTCCACCCGGTCCAATGAACAAATAGGCCAGTTGCTCCAAACCGCCATTGGTCCTACTAGCCGATTGGTTCAACTGGTCCATTTGACTGACAGGCCAGTTAGTCCATCCGGTCCATTACACCAACATGCTGGTTAGTCCAATACGTCCATTCGACCAACA